GACCACAAAGCTTCCAAACTCTATTTTTAAGACCCTTTTCTGGCCTTTTATTTTCCTAAGAAGGATTTGGTAAATTTTTAAAGGCAGTCTAATGGAAAAAAAAAAAAAAAAAAAAAGTTGTGCTAAATTATTTTTAAAAGCCAATCTTCCAACTGACTCTTTTGGATGGAAGTATGGATGTCTTTCTGCCAAACATTTTCTGCGTATCATTCTGGTTTTTGTACCAATGACCTTACAGCAATAGGCACAAAGAATTATTTTCGAGACTGTGCCTTCCAGATATTGTAAACTTCCCCTCTAAATAAAATTATAAGTAAAATATTGGCAGGATTTCAAGTCATTAAAAAGGAGAAAAGGTTGGAAAAGAACTAAGTGAGAACTATATAAAATTATTTCTGAAAAAGATGTAAGTACTGACTACGGTAATCTTGTCACCCTACTAAAGACTCAATAATCCCAGAGCAGTATTTAAAAATCTTTTTAACCGGTAAACTGAGGGGCAGGGACTGGAGAGGCGTGGGTGTTCCATTCCTGGCTGAAAGTGGTGCTTTTAAAGGCAAGGTTGTTAGATCCCAACTCTGTCCACCATCCAAAGTTACCATCAGAGGCTCAAAACTCCTTGGGAGTGGCCGACAGAAAAGACACGGAACTTTAGAACGTGCCAAGGTCCTGAGCGCCAGCCAATTCCGATTCCACAGACTACTACTTACAAGCCCTCTCCCCCACATCCCTCTTTTTATGCGCACCTACCCTCTGGTTAACCGAATAATATCCCCTGGCTGTATAAGACCTCCGATTTCATCCCACACGGAAATAGTGATGCTGCCCGTTTTATCTGCCACTTTGCATGATCTCACTTCATGGCCGTCTTTGGTTTTGGTCACGCGTCCTGTAAGGATTTAAAAATCAACAGGGGGGAAGGGGTGTATTATTAGGTAATGAGGATTTCCACAAAGGCTCTCTAACTCCTCCTCCGGGATCTGAATGCATCTGAAAGGTGGGAAGTCGAGTCCCGGGTACTCGGCGCAAGTAGGATCCGAGCCCTGGCCGGAGCCATGGAACCACGTGGATGGGGGAGGGGAGTGGAGGGGGACAGGGGAGAAGGGGGAGGGAGCCCCGGCTCGCGGCGGCGGCGCCCCTTCCTCCAGCCCCGCGACGCACAGGCGCCGGCGGGGAGGGCTGTGGACCCCACTTACCTATCTCCAGGACAATAAAGACGACATTTAAGTTTTTCAGTCCGGCCTTAATATCTTTTATAAAAAAAGGTGGGTCGTTGACCCCATTCATATTGAGGCAGGTGCGGCTACGGCTGCGGAGACGCGGGTGGGAAGGGAGCGGGACAATGCTTCCCACCCTCCTGGGCTAGGGGCGAGGGCGGAGGGGCGACCTTGGGTGGGGGTGGCGAGAGAAGGGGCAGAAAGCGGTTAGTCAGGGACCGAGAATGCCAGCCCAGACAACACTGAGCCTGAAAAAAAAAAAAAAAAAAAGGGCTCACAAGTTTAAAAGAAAAGAAAAAAAAAGGCGAATCACTCCGCACACCAACCCCGCTCCCAACCCGGAGACAGGCAAGCAAGCGTGGGAACTGCCTCCTTCTTTGGATAAAAGGCAGAAAAAAAAGCAGTGAGGGGACGCCTCTGCCCAGAGTCCCGCTCACATACACATGGGCGCGCGCCCAATCTGTCCCGGGCTCCGGGAAGGGACAGGCTGTCACAGCAACCAGAGAGCAGAGGCTGAGCAGCCAGACACCAAGCGTCCCAAACTGCGAATGCGGATCGCGCCCAGGCGGCCACAGGACCCCCGGGACGCCCCGCCTCTTATGACGTCACATAGCGCCTGCACGCCCGCCGCCCCGCCCGCCAGGCACGAGGGAGGGGAGAGGCGAAGGGGAGGGAGGGGGCCCGCTACGCCCGCGCAGCCTCCCTCGCTCCTCCCCAGGCTGTCACTGCGGCCCCGCCCCCTCAGCTTTCCAATCGGCTGTCGGCGCCGCCCCGCCCTCTTCCCGCATCGGTCGTTGAGGCGCAGCGTCCGCTTTGCCCTGCCCAGTCATCCTTCTGCAGACTTCTTCCACTCTGTCAATCCTGTTTTCTTGCATTTTTTTCCCCCTCAAAAGTTCAGGCCTCCACCGCTGCCCTTTAGTCCCGCAGTCACGGGGAACGGTTGTTGCGTTTAAAACCCAGTCGATACGTCAAAAAGTATGTCCAGTAAGAATAGGTTCAAGCAAGGGTGGCTGGTGGGGGTTGAAGGAAAAAACCTGGAAGGCATGAGTCCTTAGCTGCTTGTCTGGAATTTTAGGACCAGAAGGGAACTTGGAGATCAATTCAAATCGTCTCATTTTAACCATCCTTAAATTGAGATTCGGAAAGGTGAGGTAGTTTGCTGAAGGTCACCCAGCAACNGAAATTGGTATAAAAAAGGCATAGATAATGAATGCACTGCCCACGTTATAGGAGAAAAAGAGAAAGAGTGAATGGTGTATTGAGTACTGGCATTTAGTTCAAATATGGTTAATCATGTTTCAAAAGAGACAATATAATTCTAACTTTTTAAAGGAAAAAACAGCAGTCTTTCCCCACAATATGATTCCCACTATGTGACGATCATCAGCTGTACCAAAACATGTAGCTATCAGTTCAAATAAAACTTCACCCACCCTAATGAACTGCAACCACAAAATATTTTTCCTCAGTTATTTAAGGCTTCAAAAGACCTTTAACATGGCTTCAAAAAGCACTAATATGACATTTGAGGATATTTGAGGGATAAAGGCTAATCTTTTAAACAGGCAGCTATCAGCATGTGAAAAATTAAGGTGAGCTATTAGTCTGAAAAGGGTTTCAATGTACAAAAATAACCAGTAATTCTGCATCTATTATAAATAATCACTAGATTACAGAAATAAAAGTCAATGGAAATGTAACATGACATCACCAAAACTTAGATTTATTATTAGCCAATGCTCACCATTGTATTCCCAGTAACTGGCCCAAATGTTTAAATATATAAATGTGCTCAATAAATTAATAGGGTACCTGTTTTCTAAAAAATCAGCTATTTGGGAATTCCCTGTTTACCAATAGTTCCCTTTTAGTACTAATTTATGCCTAACGACAATTTTCTTCCTCTAAATTTTTCATAAGGGATATTCCCTTAATTCTTTTAACTGATCACAATTATGCAAAAACAAAAACAAAAATCTTACCCACTGCTCCAAATGTACCTGTACCCATATTACTATTCATGGAATTCTTCTGTTCACTATGTGCCTAAAAAGAAATTTTTTTTCATTTAACCAAATGCAGGTTTAAAAAACAAACATGTTCACATTATTGTAACAACATTATATATTTTTTTTTTTAATTTTTAAGGTTTTCTCAAGGAAATTTGTTATCCATTTATCCAAATCTATGCAATGTTAAAATATTCAGGAATGTTTCCCAAGTCTTTCATCTTACTGTATTTCTTGATATTACTCCTCACTCCTTAAAGTGCTAAATGGCAAATATATTTAATATATGACACTACAGACACATATTCAGACTCACAAAACATACAAAATGAAAATGACTTTTAAAAGATTCCTTTTAAAATTGTCTTAATTATGCTCTGGGTATGACAGGGTTGGCAAAATTAGCCTAATCCTAAAAATAGACTATATATTTGGATTAATTACCCCTCTGTTTTGTTGTCCTCGATAATCTGGATTGGGTTCACTGAAATTTGGCACTTCTGAATAAACCATACAAAATCTGAAAGAAAAAGGATAAGTTAACTGACTTCTGAAATAAAGTAATCAACCCTTCTTTATAAAACATGCATAACTTACAAGAAAATGAAGAATTTAGGTGTCCAATGAGTTAACTAAACAGCAACATGTTAACTATATTCATTTGTAACAGAAACTTCCTAAACGCTTGCTCCATAAAAACATCAAATATCTGATTGCCTACAATGCATAAAACGTTCTATTTTGTATTTTAATTCTTCTATACTGCAAAAATAAATTGTGTCAAAGATCAAGGACACAGAAACACATATTTGTCCTGTTTTTCCACATAGGCTGTTGCCACTGAACCATGGTTAGGGTTCCAGAGTGGTTTTTCCAGCAGTGGTGATGGATTTGCATTGATCCATTCACACACTCTCATCCAGTCCCTCTTTTGACCAATCACTGTGAATCTGCAAAGATAATCAATCATTCAAGGTTAAGAGCGGATTCTCCAGGCATGAATAAAGACAACTGGCTATCCCAACACTTCTTGTTAGTTGACTATGGTATATATTAACATTACGCACAAGCATTTTATTAGCTCCTCACCCCACAAACAAGAAATTAGAAATAGCTTTGATAAATGATAGACTGACCCTGACAAGTTAAGTCACTAAGAACTGAGTGACCCCCAGTGGTTCTTCACATAACTGGCGTCCATTATAAATACTTCTCTATATATGAAGGTCAGGACAGGGTCCTAAATCTTTCGGTAATATTGATGCTAAGACCTTTCATTACACGTTGCTCTATTACTATTCTAAATATAAACATAAGTGAATCCTAATTTTCCTCCTAGCAAAGACAAAGTGTTACCAGTTTCTGATCTTGAAAAGCTAGCAAGATTGCATATTTTTTCCACACAAAGTTCCTTATCCCGGCAGTGTGGAAGAGAATATTTATTTATTTATTTATTTATTTATTTATTGGTGCCACTTGTGACTTCTCTCTTTAAGTATTCTCCAATTTAATAGGCATTAAGTAAATGGTTAAGCATTAACCAAGCAGAATGGACTAATGATTTGACTTATTGCCTACATCATACTTTATATGAGTACATCCCAAATGTCTAGGCTAGCACGGAGGCTGAATTACCTTTACACCCTTAGAGAGGATGGTTCCTCCAAGTCAGGGTGGAGATTACCAAGGTAGTAGTGTATGGAAGCTCGCAATGCGGCTGCCTGTACGGTACCTAGACTGAGGATAAATACAGGACTTCGGTCATTGCTGCAAGTCCTTTTACCATGAGTACATATTCACCCATCAACAGAGTAAAAGAAAATTTAAACATATGGCCCAAACCCATACCTAGCTTATTTGGTAATTCGCAAGCACACAGAACCTATTTCAAATGGAACTTGTGACACCTAAAAAAGGCACATTCCCAAGGGCTACAGAAATGGTCTCCCTGGGGCTTGTCTCAAGTGCAGCTTCTTAATGTTCTTTGCCAGGAAAAACTGACATTCTCAACCACAGAAAAACAGTACTGATAGCTGTTCAATGAATACAAACACGTAAAGTTATTTTTATAGTTACGTTGCTGAAGTCATTCAGTTTACCAGTCAAAAACAAGCCAAAGAAAAGGTTTATAGTTTAGACCTATCAGTTATTTTAGTAGGTATGTGTAATTCATTCAATTACATTAAATGCACTTTAATACTTACTCCCCAATTTTTTGAAGTTCTCCACCCCTTCCAGTATAAAGTGTCAGACATCCTTTCCACATGGATGCATACCTGGAAAGAAAAGAAACATCAGTTTTGTAGAAATGTCTATTTCTTTCTACTTCAATTAAGTAAATCTTTACACTATATTTTTTATATTGGTTATGAGTGGGGATCAAACCCTCTGTCTACCATAGCAAATAAAATACTATTAGTTTAGCTTTGATTAACCTGCTATTTATTAAGAAATAATACAAAGAAAACTCTACTGACAAATTCTGACATAGACATCTAAACTATTAACTAATGCTGGAACACAAAATCTTTCTGGAAAGCAAGCATTATTATACTCCAAAGGTCACTTCTTAAGTCAGTTAATAAAGGGAGAACTTACAATTGCAGATATTCAAGTAGAAATTACTTTTCTATCACAGGATATATAAAATCAACACCTTAGTGTTTTGTTTTACTCCTTTACTTGGTCTTGTCAGATACTGATATAATTTTTCCTTTGCCTCCATAAAACACATAGGATTCTCAAGCTACAGAAAATTTGGCAAAATTTAATCAAGGGGCTAAAGAAACTAAGATCACAAATCTTTCACCTATTGCCTTTCCAAATCTGCAATTTTTAGCACCAACTTGGCTGAACAATTATTTGCTCTGAACAATTTTGAATGCAGACAGCATCATTAGATAAAATAATCTCATACACAAATCTAAGAAAAATGTAAATTAATATTATAAAATCAGTCCAAGGTTTGGTTTTCTTTCAGTGGTTCTTTGTACAACTACTGTGGTAATTTCATGATTTAGAATGATAAATTTTAACTAAGTATAGTGATAGTTCAACTTTTAATATAGGTAATAAAAATTTACTACTTCTGTATTATATATATATTTCTCTTCTTTTAGTAAGGGTTATTTATTAAAGACTCCATTCACCAATCTTAGGGTAGATAAAAAATGACTTAGGAGAAAGTGCACTAATATTTCACCTTACTCACGTAAAACAATGCATATTTTGAGGAAAAAAACTGAAGTTACTACAACTAAAACACTTAACTTGCACTTGTTTCAGTAATGAGATCAACGTTTGCATGGTTTTCCAACAAACATATCAATAAATTACCATTATTTAAATGTATGCCTTTCTTCAAAAGCCACTTTTCTTAGATTCAACCAGAGTTTAAGGACCTTACAATGGGCCATACTCTGCTGGATGCGTTATTTTAGTAAGGTATAATTATTCCCATTTTACAGAAGAGGAAGTTGATGAAGTATAACAACTTCAAGGTCACGATGAACTTAGGAAATAATAAATGTCTTTAGTTTTGAATTTTCCTTTAAATTGTATTCCTTGGTAACCATATTCTCCTTAAAAATCTATAAACATTATATGGCTACTGAATTTAGTCTTTCCACAATTTTTTGGACAAACACATCTATGTACTTTCTGTGACTACAAAATATGAAATATTTGAATTGCTGTTTATAGTATATAAAATACTTTTAAGCACTAGATAAGATGCTGGGCAGCCAAAAAAACTTTAATTATGCTTCCCCTCACATGCCCTCCCAGGTAGGAATTCTCTTTTGTGTAAGTTAAAGATGTGGAAGTTTAAAAAGCACAATAGGTATCATAATGAGTCAGTAGTAGAATAAAATGTCTAAGTCCTGACTCTCACTTCCTTATTTGATGACATTCTGCCTCACTTCCTGAAAACGTAAGGCCTGTAAGATACTATCAAAAGGCTCTAAGCTCCTACATTCACAGTGATTCAACACTTCTCTGAGATTCTACTTACTTAGGCCAACATCAATTTCCATCCACTTTTCCTATAGTTATGGCCAATAAATTATTACAATTCGATTGACCACAAAGCTTCCAAACTCTATTTTTAAGACCCTTTTCTGGCCTTTTATTTTCCTAAGAAGGATTTGGTAAATTTTTAAAGGCAGTCTAATGGCCAAAAAAAAAAAAAAAAAAAATTGTGCTAAATTATTTTTAAAAGCCAATCTTCCAACTGACTCTTTTGGATGGAAGTATGGATGTCTTTCTGCCAAACATTTTCTGCGTATCATTC